CCCCAAAACCCCAAAACCCCAAAACCCCAAAACCCCAAAATTGATTAAAATTATTGAAAATGAATAATGGAGGAGCTATACATTATTTTGTTCATCAGTAAGATCTCAGGCAGAGCCTAAAATGATTTACCTCTGAACCTAGAGTTGTTTATAATGCTTTTATAGACAGAATAGACACCCAAATCAAGACCCTTCACAACATTTTAGGTAAGGTCTCACATTTGTATTCTAAAGGGCTTATAATGTACTATATTAAACTAAAAATTTTCGATTTTATTTCTTAGCTACAAAAATTCAGACGCTAATAATGATAAAGAAAAATCACCAGTGACGGTTTCCTAGTTGATGAGATTGAATCTAACCAAGATCTGAAGGGTCCTCAAAATGGTGACTGATTGAAAAACTTCATAAAGAAGCACTCAAGCTCAAAGAAAAATAAGAAGACCATATTTACTTCCCAAATAACAAAAATGAATAATCAGAGCAAGAATGTAGCCTCATCTAGAATGAATCCTTTTCTTGATCGGTATGCCTCCTTCTAAATAATTTTAAGGGTGAAATATAGAATCGGAAAGGCTAAGTCCACAGCATCAAAAATTAAGGCTATCAACACTGATGATTTCAGAGAGAGAAATCCGATACTTGATCCTCAATATCACAGAGGAAGTGAGGTATGCAAGCTCAAGTGATTTTAGACCGACAGAAATAATTTAGAGCTTAAGAAAAGTCCTATTCAAGCAAAGCAACTTAAAAAGCCAGTTGCACATAAAAGCCCAATGATTTGTACAAAGCATAAGGTAAAGTTTGGAGACTTATATTAAGACTATTGATGTTTTATCAGCTTTATCATCAAGAAAAAATCAGAAGAGGTCAGTCTCAAAACCACCAGACGCGTTTTCAAATTCTCCACAAGGCCATATGAGATTTAGCTATGATTCTTCCCAATTCAAGAAGAAGGGAGCCAAAATGTAAGATTTCCTTCCCCTAATTTCTAACTATTAACTCTAGTAAGGCTAGAATCAAAAGGAAAAGTTCTATAAAGTAAGGTTAAATCTTGTTTACAGCCTCAAAGAATAATTTGCAACTTATACCTCTCTTTAGATTTACAGATATTGGTTTAATCAACACTGATAAGAAAAAGGTCTCCAGGATTGTTGATAGCTTTAATAAGCAGCCTGAGGTAAGGACAATTCACTACCTCTTAGTTACAAGATATGATGAGTCAGCCTAGTTTAAGAGCTAAAAGAATGAAGCATGCAAAGAAGAACAAGAGAATATTTGACTCTAATGGCAATAATGTTAATACACAGAATTTGAAAGTACCTACTTTTAATCAGAATAAATTTATGAATAGGTAAATTCTAATTTTATATACTAGGAAAACACACAGAAATCAAAAGAGCGTAAATGATAAGACCATCACATTTGACTTAAGAAATAAAGGTAAAAAGGCTTGATATTTGTGTCTTGACTCAAGATATTTATTTTGCCATAGAAACTGGCCTAAATATGATGAGAAACACAGTAGAAAAAGGATTTACAACTCCAACTGTTTCTCATGCAAGAAACAACAATCTGAGTCTCAGCCAGATGACGAATTCTAAAAAGATGTTCGCTTCAGACAAGAAGACAGAGAGGGATCATAAGATATCGGGAGGCAGGTCTAATTCTCTATCTCAAAACTTATTGAAGAAGATCCAGCTGACCCCTATGATCGAGGTTATTCCAAAAGAAAGAAGCTAGCTATATTTTGACCATAACGGCAATTGTTCTATTTCAGTTGTAAGAAATAATATAGGGGTTTTGGGGTTTTGGGGTTTTGGGGTTTTGGGGTTTTGGGG